AGAGTAACGTTGTTTTTTTAGTATTTTTATCGGTTTTAAATTTTGATTCCTACCATTTTACATTGAATTGGGTATTTTATAGATTTTAGGTTGTTAAAGGTACACGAAATTGGTGTCTATGTGGTAGTTACGCTACTTGGCGATAGATGGCGCTGAGTGTTTATAAAACGGAATAGCGTTGTGTTTTTTAAGTATTCTTCGCTTTTAAATTTTGGTTCCAACCATTTTACATTAAGTTGCGTATTTTATAGATTTTAGATTGTTAAAGGTACACGAAACCATAGTGGCAACAATACTCAACAATTAGCAAATATATTGTACGCTGTTGTTTCAACGCTCGATAGATGGCGTTAGGATCGAGTTAGATGGCGCTATGGTTTCGTTACCGGCGAAAGTATAGGTTCCGGCCTTCCGTATCAACTATATTTTAAGGTACGCATCTAGCGTTTAAATTGATTATTATTTGTTCGATTTGTAGGTTTGATTAGTCAAGTCTTATTTTTTCTAGGTAGATATTTAAAGTACTATAGTAAATTTTTTTCGTCGTTCTAAGACGCTTTGTTCATTGTTTACGTTGATTGATACTGTAGCTATATTAGTTAGGTTAGATTAGTGAAGTGGTTTATTTCTAAGTAGATGTCTAAAGTAGTTAGGTTTTCGATAATAACACTTATAATATAGTTTACCACTCAGTTTTGGTTTAGCATTGCAAATATAACCCTTATAGGAAATAGAAGTCTTTTAAATTAAAATGGGAGGAGGTGTTTGTGGTAATGCGAAAATAACTTCTTCTGTTCTTTCACGCGGCTGAATCGATTTTGGTATAAAGGTAGTTTGAGTCCTGGAAAAGCAAGGCTTTACCGCGGCAGAACTTCTCATTCCCACGGAAAAATCTAAAACGCGCGTTATAACCGAATTCCACGCAAGCGAACAGCTGTTTGTTTGTTTGCCTGTCTTAAACGGCAAAACGGAGGTACTTAACGTGATTTTTCAACTGAAGGTAGTTGAAGGGATGGGTAGTCACATAGGCTACGTTTTATCTTTTTGTGACGCGAGCGAAGCCGCGGGTAAAAGCTAGTACATAATAAAGACTGCATCGTTGGCCGAGCGGTCGCAAGTGTGACTGTCGGGCAAGGGGTCTCGGGTTTGATTCCCCGGTCGGGCAAAGTATTACTGGGTTTTTAAAAAAAAATCTCAGTAGTAGCACGGAGTCTAGAAATGTACCCGGTATATGGCAAAATTGGGTGTTACATTTTACAGTGGCATATTATGCACCGCTGCCTACCACTTCGAGGATAAAAGGCGTGATGTTATGTTATGTTATCATAAGAAGAAGAAGAAGGTACTTCTGCTCCTGGTATATCAAGTATTTTTTTTGTTAGGGGGTAAAAAAAGTTACCTACCTAGACCTACATATTAAAATTAGTGTGGAAGAGCCATGCTTTGGCACGAATGCTCGACCGAAGCGATACCACGGCCTCACAAAAAAGCGACGTGAAACAACGCTTGGGTTGTGTCTCGTTGTGTGAGTGTGGTTACCGGAGGCCCAATCACCCCCTTTCCTTAGTCTCCGAATCCCCAACAATCCTCAAATTCCCAATTCCCAAAAGGCCGGTAACGCACTTGTAACGCCTATGGTGTTTCAGATGTCCATAGGCGGCGCCGATTGCTTACCATCAGGTGATCCGTCTGCCTGTTTACCGGCTTATCCCATAAAAAAGTTAGGTACATGAAAAGTTTTTCACCAATCAGCGATAGTAAATATTTAACCTACGCCAGTAAAATTTGTAACCCACACAAGAACCAATAATAAAATAGACTACTGATGAAAATTCCCATTAAAATAAATACAATATTAAACACTATAATTAAAATTGTACAACATTAAAACCGTATTTCTTGAATCGAATACCTCAAGGCGTAATATGATCGAAACTATACTTTTCTATTAACAACTTTATGTTATTTACCCATATTAGCGAACAAATGATTTGATTTGATTTGAATTATATTTGTAAATTGCAAAAAATAGACAATACAATTTTAGACGGCCTGTTGTTAGCTGACCTGGCGAACTTTGTTCTTTATAATTAATTTACTTACACCCGAATACTGAAAGATTACTCAATTTTAAATTGTATTGAAATACTAGCTGTTGCCCGCGACTTTGTCCGCGTAGAATAATGACTTCTAGCAGAATTTAGGCTTTTAAATTAGTCTTTATCAAGGGATATTCTACGGTAACAAATGTCGTCAGAATTGATTCAGTACCTAATATAGGGCTCCTCCCCTGTAGATGATAGCGTGATAATATATTGCCCTGACTTGTCAGTAATATTCATGCAAAATTTTAAGTAAATCCATGCAGTACTTTTCGGGATCATCCCGGACATACATACATACAAACAGACAAAAATTCTAAAAACTATTATTTAAAAAAAATATTTAATGTAAAGTTTTGACTTTTCTACGACTTAATTATATGTATAGAAGACGTATAGATAGATAGATCGTGCCATCTCTATCATTTTTACAAATAATTTTTTAGACAGAATTATAATTAAGCACGACTTAATATTGAGTGGCCTTTCAGTATTCAGGCATTAATTGTCTAAAATGCCTTTTACACTAATTATAATGCGAGTAGATTATTTGTTGGAAAAAAATATTTAAATATATTTGAACTACATTCTACTAAATCACGTGACTTTTTTTTATGTCTGCATGTGAACCTAAAAACTATATCGAACGAATTCAACTGATATAATATCCCAGCTCCCTCCCCCCTTCTCCAATCTCCACAATCCTCGAATCCACAACAATCCTCAAACTCCTAATCCCCAAAAGGCCGGTAACGCACTTGTAACGCTTCTGGTGTTCCAGGTTTCCATGGGCGACGCCGATTGCTTTCGGCGATCCGTATGCTCGTTTACCGGCCATATGCCATAAAAAAAATATATTTGTGTCTGGAGATAATAGGTAAAGGAGGCTGGAGATGACAAAAGCTTTATATATAAGTTGATAATATTTATCAAACATGAAAAATCTTAGACTGCCTCGTTGGCCGAGTGGTTGCAAGTGCAACTGGCGGCAAGGGGTCTCGGGTTCAATTTCTGGCTCGGAAAAAGTATTAATGGCTTTTTAAAAAAAATCTCTCTCATAGACTCGGGACTCATAACATAAATAGTGAAAAGTGGGTGTTACATTGTACAGTGGCATTAAGTGCCGTAATGTACACCTCAGCCTACCCAATCGGGGATAAAAAGGCGTGATGTTATGTACATGTAAAAAATTTTAGAATTTAGATTTATTAGGTTTCTAACGAATATGCGACAACGCATTGTTTAAATTACTATAAGTATTTCAATACTACTTGCACTTTCACAGGGTCCTCAAAATTAGTCATGACGTCCCATCCTTGAGACTTAGAATCAAAAAACAAAAGTCGTTGAAAAACATTAATTGTACGCTGCGTCAATGTCGCAGGCATTAATCAAATGTTTGTAACTTTCATGGTTAACTAAAACGGTTATTTGTGACAATTTATTATTTAGTGTGTAAAAAACGTATCGTAGCCCGGAGGTTTGTCGCGTTACTTATAGTTCTATATAACTAATTAGTTCGGGTTACCGGGGCTCCGGCTCGACGTGCAGGAGAAGGAACGGGGTGGTTTTTAGTCAGTAAGAGTCTGACACTCCCTTCCGCCTCACCCAGGCGGCGCGAGCAGCCATTCGATGATTTTCCCCCCTTAAAAAAAAGCCCGGAGGTTTAAGACACCCAGACAGCTTCTCAACCATGAGAGTGCGGGTTTGAAACCTACCAGTGGCAAGTACCAATTTACCTTTTCGGAGTTATATGTACTTTCTAAGATTATCTAGACATCACTGACAAACGATGAAGGAAAACATCGTAAGGAAACCTGGGCTAAAATTTCTAATTATAAGTTTGAAATGGCCAACCCGCATTGAGCAAGCGTCGTGATTAATGCTCAAACCTGCTCCTTGCGAGAAGAGGCCTTTGAACAGTTATAGGCTCTTGATGATGACTACTTATTTAGTGCTCAAGCTGAAAATTAGTAGGTTAAAAAAAAGTATACCAACTACAGGAATTCTACCTCTTTCGGATCCATCATGTCTAAGAGTTGCATTTGGAGCGGATGATGCTTTTTCACCGACCTCTATCTAGTGCTTATCTTAGTACCAAATAAATTTTAGTGATCGAAGAATCACTTGATTGTTCCATCTTATAGATATAGATAGCGAACGACCATGGTAAAAATTTAATCGATACTGATTCAGAACAAATTCATCAAAGAAGATATCATAATAAGAAAACACTGATATCTTAAAATTATGATACTCGTAGTTAACCGAAACTTAAACGTCGCACTTCATAAAAATATAAAACAGTCGGCCTTTTCACCAAATAATGAAACCGTATTAATGCCTGCGACATGTATATTAGATGTAATCAATAAAATGTCGATATGTTCGGGCAAATTTCCCAGTAATAGTTATAAGGCCCACCAGTGAAAACGTTAAAACAGGATTTTAGGGCGAGTGATTTATTATAGTCAGGTAAATATTTAATTGCATATTTAAACTAATTCAGCATCATACAAAAAAGATTTATGATTAATTTCTAGTAATTTAAAAAGTAGCATTTAAACAAAACTGAACGCAACAAGCATATATTAACTTAATATAATCCAAAATAAAATGTAACAAATAAATATTCCTTACAAATTCTCCAAAATAGACATTAGTCAGCAATATTTTTACGCAACGATAAAAACTGTTGTAATATTCTGACATTGCAATCTAGCATAAGCGCTTAAGTTTCAAAAAGTCATCAAAAATATAATTAAAGTACGAAAACAATTGCGCATAATGTAGGAGCAAGACTTATGAATAAAATATTAGTATATTAGCTACCGAACTAATCATTTAACTGCATTGTATACAGAGTGCATTTTTCATATATTTGTCGGCTTTAGCAAAATGACATCGGTAGTCGACGTCGCGGTTGACCAGAATGCCAATACCACAAGGATGATATTCTACCCGCTGCTGCTATTAGCGTCAGCGATATGGATGTTCCACCGATGGCAGCATCAGTCCAGGATGTCCAAGATGGGAAACCTGCTCCCAGGACCCACAGCTCTCCCGTTATTTGGAAACGCACTTATTGCTCTGTTCAAGAAGCCTGAGCGTGAGTACATGAGACTCTTTTATTTTTTAACCGACTTCAAAAAAGAATGAGGCTCTGTTTGACCTGTATGAATGTATGTATCTATGTGTTTGTGCGTAATAATCTCGTGATTGGAACCGATTTTGATGCGGTGTTCAAAAACTGTTTGTTACACTTAGGAGAAGGTTAGTTAACCGATTTCAAAAAGAGAGGGTTGAAGTGATTTTTTTAAACGTAGTTTATTATTATATTTTTTTATGGCATAAGCCGGTAAACGAGCAGACGAATCACCTGATGGTAAGCAATCAGCGTCGTCCATGGACACCTGGAACACCAGAGGCGTTACAATTGCGTTACCGGCTTTTTGGGTATTAGGAGTTAGAGGATCGTTGGGGATTCAGGGATTGGGGGAGATTGGGGAAGGGGAGGGTAATTAAATTATGAAATAATTATTAGTTTATTTATTGTGTACTGAAGTGAAGACAAATAATATATACAAACACTTTTTGTATCACCCTACAAATAGATAGAGTGTCAATTAGCAGAATTTGTTAAATGTTGTGCAGATATTCTACTATGGTTCTGTACGGATTGACAACTATCGAGTTTAATAATGTACTATCGGGATAATATTATACTATTTCAAGATATATTCTAGTAAATTACAAGACAGAATGTAAAACAGTTTGTTCATGTATCGGGGTTCATTGTCTTGGTGATGTCCTTCTGTGTACTTCATATACTCGTAATTATATTCATCACGTCTTATGTCATTTAGTTTATCGAAACTTATTCAATTGTTTCACATTTATAACCTTGTTTCAGAATTCATTAAACTTGGCTTCGAATACGGTGACAAATATGGCTACGTTGTCCGTGGCTGGGTGGGATCAAAACTTCTGATCTTTCTCGCTAATCCAGAAGATGTGGAAGTTATCTTGAACAGCCAAGTGCATATTGATAAGGCTTCGGAGTATAGATACTTTGAGCCTTGGCTTGGGGAAGGTCTCCTCATCAGCTCAGGTAAGATGACGTTTACTTGACTTAATTTTCGAAATAATGAATAGAATATACCTTTTTTTGTTGACGGGGTGAAACCTTCAAAAGGCACCTAGGTTTTTGAGGAAAAGACTCGGAAATGTGATATTTTTGCCTTACTAAAACCAGTAGCTACCATCTGCAACTGAAGGAGGCACCGAGTCCTCTTAGTAGACCAATCCCGGAGCACCCACAGAGAAACGTCTGTAACGTCCCTATGAAGACATATGTGTCTATCTAGAGCATCTCTGTGCAGTGCACGGCGGCACGTGGCCACTGTGCCGCCGTCTTCCATGGTCGATTGATACCCGTCATTAGATGGGTGCCTTAGATTCCCCACTCTATGCGTCCATAACCCATGAGTAGAATATACTTAGTACTAAGTTGTTTTACTAATTTTATGACAACACACTTTCTGCTTGTCATACCTTAATTTTCCAATTGTGTCAGAATTACTTTAACCATGTGTGTAATAGGTGACCAGTGACGTGCAAAATTAACACAAATTAATTATTACTAAGTACTGAAATCACAGGTCAATGTCTTATGTTATAACTTACGAAGCGTTATTTAATACTCAGTAACAATGTTAAAACTTGTTTTTATGTCTCTCGCAACTGAGGGTTTTGCAAGGTATATCTTTGTAATTAGGGATAATGTGGAAGTCAGAAACTGGAATGTAATCTTGGCTACTTTTCCCCCCTTTGTGCCGTAATATGCCGGGGATAAAAGGCGTGATGTTATGTGTATGTATGATTTTTCTTTTAGGAGCTAAATGGCGCTCACACAGAAAAATGATCGCTCCTACATTCCATATAAATATCCTGAAATCTTTCGTCGATGTTTTCAACCAGAACAGTAAGAGTGTGGTTGAGAAGATGAAATCTGAAATCGGGAAGACTTTTGATGTTCATGACCACATGAGTGGCGTTACAGTCGATATCTTATTGGGTAAGTTATTATTGCAATTACGTTTAATAAATTCAACAATACGACTTATAACAATCAAAAAGGTTTCACTTAAAGTATTTTGGTTATATTAAATATACCTAATCTTGGCAAACGTTGCCGAAAAAAAAATTTAATAGCTCTAAAATAAAATTAAAAAGAAAATAAGAAGGTAACTTTTATGGCATCTTTGATATTTTTGCATTAGTGGCCAGTATTCATGTTATTTTTAATTTAATAATTAGCCATTCATTATTAATTAGCCTCTTTTCTTTTCAAATTCTAATATTTTTCGATAGTTATATCAACATTTACACAATTTCATCTCTGCTTTTTATTATATAAATGTATAGATATAGGTAAGTGTAGGTTAAGCACTAAAGAAAATTTAAAAAGGTTACATTACATTGTTTTTATAATAATAATAGTAATATTGGTGTAAATTATCGAAAAAAATTATAGAGAATATCTCTAAATTGAAATAAAGAAGAAAATAAAAAAGGTAACTTTTATGGCATCATAGATTTTTTTTACTTAATCCATATTATAATCACAGATAATAATTATTAGAAAGAAGATTATAATCATATCTCAACCTCCTTGCTTTAAAATTCTGTTTTCCTTTACTGTATCTGTGGCTACGTGTTTGTTGTTTTGAAACATGTACTATTTTTTTCTTAGTTTTAATTAATTATGAGTTTAACTTCCATATTTTATTAGTACAATTAGCTTCTGGTATTAATGGATTCCCAGATGAAACAACAAAAAATGTTGAATCAATGAAATATAAATATTGTGCGAAATTAATATTCTGTAGAACTCGTCTTCTATAAATGTAACCTACTACAATACATACTCCATTATTAACACATACCATTAATAAAGTACCTTATTAAGAAATTATTAAATATACAACAAATCAAAGGTCACTTTTTATTTTAATTATAGTTCAATATTTTTTGCTATGTGGCATATAATGATTAAATAATTAGTTACGAATACCTAATATAAAACACAAATTAAGGTAGGTAGCTACTTAGAAAACAATAGCAATCATGTTTAATACATTATTCTAATGAATCGAAATGTTCTGACCATAACCTTGCATTATTTTTACATGTACTTTTTCTTTACTAGACATTACATTTAATTTCCTGAAGTAATATGTAAAAAAATTACTTGTACACACCGCCACACATAAATCTATACAAAACCAGTATATCCTGGTATCGCGTCGCATCATCTTTCCACACATTTAACGTTCAGTTTATACTGGTTATGTAAAGCTCGATGTGTAGCCGTGTGTACCATAAATCCTATATTTCGTAAAATCCATTACGAATGCATAATGATGTATAACTTTGAAATAGTTATGAATTCGATAGAAAGTAAAACCTAGTTTCATTAACTCGGAATAATCCCAAAATATCAGGCTCCAGGCTCTGTAGTCATAAGTTAATATGGTAACTAAACAATACTTCTACCAGCCAATAGACCGACTAATGGCTCCAGATCTAATTCAATCAATATTTATTATACAGAAACTGCTATGGGCATCACAAAGAAGACTCAGGATCAATCTAGCTTCGATTACGCGATGGCCGTGATGAAGTAAGTCAATCTATAGGATGGTTTCCTAAATTTTATTTGAATGTCCGTCTGATATATTAATTTTAATATTTTCGACGATAAATTGATTTAGGATATCATGTAACACTACGATTTATTACATTTTATCGGTAGCTATAGCTAGTTCTCACTTCTAAACTTTAATTCGTTTTATCTAAGTATTCACTTCTTATGTGACAAAGTAAAAAATTCGTGTATAATATTTTTCATTATCTAACTGACGGACTAAATAGATTTTTATGTTTCTTTTCACCTTATTTCTTAACATCTCAATAGGAATTGGTTAATACCATTTGCTTTATTGACATTATCCTTGTATATCCTTGTACCTCTTGGACATTAGTCAAAGAAGTACTAATTTCACCTACAAAAACTATTTATACCTAGAAACACACTAGTATACACAGTAAATAAATTAGAATTTTAAAAGTTATGAAATGATTGACATTTATAAAACGACTGCCTCGTTGGCTGAGTTGTAGCAAGTGCGACTGCCAGGCAAGGTGTCTCGGGTTCGATTCCCGGGTCGGTCAAAGTATTACTGGGTTTTTAAAATATTCTCAGTAGTAGTTCGGAGTCTGGAACTGTGCCCGGTATATGGCAATAGGCTCACCCCCTATTACATGTGACTTATAACATAAACAGTGAAAAGTGGGTGTTACATTGTACAGTGGCATAATGTGCACCTCTGCCTACTCCTTCTGGGATAAAAGGCGGGATGTTATGTTATGAAATTCATTAGGACATTTTTAAAACGTTGTTTAATCTACATCATTTCTTTTTCAGAATGTGCGATATTATCCACCAGAGGCATTACAAATTCTGGCTGCGACTGGACAGTATTTTCAAATTCCATCCACTTTACAAAACACAACAGAAACTTTTGGACATTATACACGGACTTACTAATAAGGTAAACATATACATATGTACCTACGTCATACCATTTGCTTATACATCACAATGTTAAAACTTAACCGACACGTGTTTACAGCCACGTGTAGTCCCAATATTATTAATTAAAATGAATACAAGAATGAATCTGTTTGTTACATTCTTCCTACAGTGAATAGAAATGTCAATTAATAGGATTGACGTATTTAATTTTATTGTATTTAACATTTACTAGCTTCTGCCAGTGCTTTTGTCCGCGTTCCCGTAGGTTATAAAGTGGCCTATGGCCTATGTGTTATATATAACTATTGTATTTCATTTATATGGGATATGAGCTATGTATTTAGAAAAGGGGTAAATTATGACCTACCCCTGTTACAGATCAATTCAAATTTTATCCCGATCCCTTCAGCTGTTGTGTTGTGACGTGAACAAGTAACAAGCAAACAATCTTTCGCTTTTATAATGTTAGTAGGGTCCAGTTTGTATTACTAGTGTTAAGCTATTTGGGTACATACGAGCATAGCTCTGCCATATAAATGTGCATTGCTATTAAAATGTCGCGTGTCGTATTTTGTCATAAACCCATGTACCTACTTCAATTTTTGTACTACAATTTTAAGACGAATTTGCTAAGCTAGTCAATTAAAATAGATTAGTCACTTATTGGAGTAAAGATAATTAAACAAGATTAAATATCATTCCTATAATTTTTTTAGACGTCTGAATTAATTTAAACGTAGTATAGAAATTGTAGCCCCTACCTGACAAGCTACCTAGGATGTACCTAGAACCTAACCTAAAGCCAATTGACACAGGCAAAGTCATGAGTAAAAGTCATTTCAAATTAGCAAAACTGTAAATAAGTTCATTACTGCATTTTAATTAAATACCTATAGGTACTGACATCATCATACTATTGTTGTATAAACATGTAAAACATATAGGTAAAAGTGTCTTTATGACAATAGATTTACAGTTGAATTTTGTGTAACTGTGAAATAGGCAAATTGTTTTATTTTCCATGATTGACACTTCACGATGTCAATAAATGACTAATCAATCAATCGTTTGAAGGTAATTTAATGTCACCATTCGAATTTGAATTGAAAATGATTCGACGCGATATATTTGAATAGCAAAGTTCGTGTTTGTTGCATAATATTAAACGGAACTGTGAAATTAGAATTGATGTACCTACGCATATATCTTCAGACTGATGCCAATCAATCGACCATTATCGTGTCATTGACCAGCTATTACCACTATTATTACTCTATGTGTTATGTTCAAAAACCATTAAAAATACAGCAAGCAACATTACAGGCTTGAAGCGAATTTTGGCATAGCGAACGAGATTATGTCGACACTTATAGCTACATATAAAGAAAGATAAATAACTCCTAACTTAAAGAGCTTAATTTTTTCCAGGTCATTAAACTAAAAAAGAAAATCTACCAGGAAAACAAAGCTAAGGGTATAATTCCTCCCAGTCTCCAAGAGTTGACTGATGGCAAGGCTCTCGATAACGATACAGTTTTGGCGAACAATGCTAAAACTTTATCAGACACAGTTTTCAAAGGTTACCGTGACGATCTCGATTTCAACGATGAAAATGACGTCGGTAAGTAATTGGAGTAATTGCCATCATTATACAATAAAACTAACAATGTTAAAGGTAAAGATACAGTTCATGAAATTCATTTGAATTTGACGCCAGAGTTCAGAAATTGGTTCTAACAACCAATTACATAAAATCTGATTAGGTGTCATTTGATGTCGCGTGACAGTGACAAAAAAGGAAAAAGTTGAACAAATTGTTGTTTTATTTCGCCCAAACAAAAACAAGAATCTCGATCATAAGACACGCCAAGCTAAAAAAAAACTATAATTTCGATTTCGCTAAAAGCAGTTCAATGTATTTTTTACAACAAGAAAATGAGTATTATACAATTAATGTTATAAATGTGACCTAAATGTTACAGGTGAGAAAAAACGCCTGGCCTTTTTGGATCTGATGATTGAATCAGCTCAAAACGGCACCAACCAGATCAGTGACCACGAGATTAAAGAAGAAGTGGACACTATTATGTTTGAGGTATGTTTCTTAATTGAACTCTAGATAATAGATAAGATATAAAATAGACACAAAAACGTTTTCTGAAATGGAATTTTGTTTTAGGGTCACGACACTACTGCAGCTGGCTCAAGCTTCGTGTTATGCCTATTAGGTCTCCACCAGGATGTTCAAGCGAAAGTTTATGATGAACTGTACCAGATCTTCGGTGACTCAGACAGGCCTGCCACCTTCAACGACACTCTACAAATGAAGTATCTGGAGCGAGTTATCCTTGAAACTCTTCGGATGTACCCTCCTGTACCCATCATTGCTAGAGAGTTGAAGAGAGACGCTAAAATCGGTAAAGAATATTTTCCATAATAACGATCACCTAAATACAGAAAAAAAATAGAATCCATTAAAGTTAAAATCCATTTTTCGCCAGTTACTTATGCAATAGGTCCCGTTTTAATTATGACTCTAGTTTGTTCCCATACACAGGAACAATACCTGAATCTGTACTATTACAAATTTTAGAAAACCGAAACACCTCAATAAATCTTAGCCAATCTAGGGAACTGAACTCAAGACTCTTTTCTTAGATTTTTTACATACGTTATAATTTTCTTCGTTACAGTAACTAACAACTACGTGTTGCCGGCGGGAGCTACCATTGTCATAGCAACATACGGCATCCACCGCCACCCTCAACACTACAAGGACCCTGATACCTTCAACCCTGACAACTTCCTACCAGAGAACATGGCCAACAGGCACTACTACAGCTACATACCCTTCAGCGCTGGACCCAGGAGTTGTGTCGGTTAGTAACTTGTTTTTTATGTAATGAAGACGCCAACAGCCACAAGTTTAGTATCGCCTGATGGTAAACAATTGGCACCGTTCATCGACACTACCTATAGGAGTTCAGTGTGTTACCATTTCGTTTCGTCTAATAACATCTAATTTATTTTGTGACGGATCCAAAGCATTCATTAAAATTATGACTCTGAGACACACTGAATTTCATTGGTTCAATGTTTTCACGGTTATATCTGCTGTATATCCTGGCTTACAGGAGTGGCAATGGTTTGGGAAATTAAGGCCGGACATCCCATCTATCTAACATGGTCAGCTAAAAGATTAGACGTTTCCAGATTTTTCTTTATAAACGTTTCAAAACAAGAGATGCGATTCGACATGATGGCAAACCATTATTTTGAGCTAAAAGAGTCGCCTCCTATGTCGTTGTTCAGGTTTAGGAATACAATACTAGATCTGTATCTGAAATAAATACTAGAATGAAGCGACAATGTATATTTTATTTGGAAGCAATTGAAATAATAAGAATAAGAACTAAAAAGTAGCACCTGCGAAATAAGAACATAGTGATATTGAATTATTGGAAAATACCCTATTGTATAACACAATAAAGATTACAAGTAGGCAAGATTACAAGTAGCCTAATGGCAATACTATACCCTTTTATCTATTTATTATGTAGTAGATAGACACTGAATAATTTCAAAGTGACAAAGGTCACTTTTTACTTTTAATGTATAAAACCTATACTATATATCATTAATTTAAATTGAATTACATAATTAATTAATCAAGCACTGATTTTAATTGATACTGTATTCGATTTTTTTTTTGTTATTATATTCAGTAGAATTTGAATTCCTTATTTTTTTTTCGTACCTTTGAATACCGATTTCGTTACCATTTGGTCACTTAAATTTATGTATATCAAATTAAAATTAAAATTTATTATACAATTCAAATGGCACAGGATCCAACAGTTATCAGCAAAATTTAAAAAAAATCATATAGATTTTAAATGACAATGACTTATGCGTAATATTTTTTTAATAACTGTTAGAATTCCGCCAATCACCTGGTGCACTTTGATCGTGGATTTTAGGGACATTCTGTATACATTTGGTACATATATTTGGTATATAATAAGTAGTTTAACAGAATATACCACATTTTTTTTTCTTCTCCTCGTATAATATCTCCTGATTCACTTCGTTGCGGAAACCAAGACGCGCCGGACTTCAGTGTTCCGGTGTTTTCATGGTTGTATCTACTATAGATCCTGGCTTACAAGAGTGGCAGCGGTTTTGGGAGGCTGTGTCGGGTTTGTCCCATAAAAAAAACCAAACGAATACATATCTGTACACTTAATTTGCATTGCAATTGATACTGTTAACCTTTTTAATGTGGGCAAAGTTTGTGTTAACAAGGTCTAAGTATACCTCTAATAAGATGTAGTTACCAAACGCCTCACTGAATCTAAATACAAATATCCCGTTTTGACATCACATAAATCACGCCTTTTTAAACCTGCAATACTTTACCCGACCCTGGAATCGAACCCGAGGCTCCATGTCCGGCAGTCGCACTTGCGACCACTCGGCCAACGAGGCAGTCTATCTAAATCTAAATAATTAAACAAATGTCCCAAATAATAAAGAGCAACGTTATTTATTATGTTCCATACTAATACTAACAATGCATTTCCAGGACGCAAGTATGCTCTGTTGAAGCTAAAGATTCTTCTATCAACCATCTTGAGAAACTACAAAACAATTTCTGATGTCCCTGAGGAAGAGTTCCAGCTGAAGGGAGACATCATTCTGAAGAGATCAGATGGATTCAGGATTAGAATCGAACCAAGAGTGAGGGTACCATCCAACGCAGCCTAACTTATTTGTAAAACCTAGTACTATCTAAAGATATGTTGTTTACTTCATGGTCGATGTAAGGACTCATAGAGCTAAGCCTGATATTTTTTTAAGACAGATTTTAAAAACAATACCGAAAGATGAGGAGACAATCTGAATCTCAAAGAGACCTTGAAAAATTAAACTTATCAAAAGTAACTTTTTTATATCGTTTTTAAATAACTGAGAACTTATATTTTAATATTTATGATTCAAAAAATGTGTTATATCTAAATTTATTATACGATATGCATTCGTTATTCACGATACATTAATATAATGGCTTTTATGACATGTCATTAAAGCTATTATTACTTTAAAAAATACGATTATTCAAAAATATGTAAAGATTATATCTATTTTCGATTAATTCTCAGAAAAATTACTTATTAGCAGTGCGTAATTTAAAACCTGATTACTAATTTTGGTAACCATAATTGTTAGACGTTTTAGTTGTGTCATCGTGAGGTCAATTGATTAATTATGTCTTTAAATAAAAGTTAAAAAATGTCATGTGGTTTATTATTGCACCATATTTTTTAATATTAACAGTTACCTTAATGTGATATTCGTTTAAGAGAGCAAAGAAATGTGTAAAAATTTTTTTAAGATTACCTTCAATGTTTCTTCTGTTAATACTTCCACGTTGCTAAGTAATTTACTCTTGAATACTAGCACCTGGATGACCAAGCTTTGGTCGGTGTTTTCATTTGTAAAAAACATTTTCTGAAAATGAAACCTAGGGATCGATTACCGCCCCCTAAACGCCCTGAATACAAAATTTCATGAAAATCGTTGTAGCCGTTTCCGAGATCGTGAAAACAAATACCTAATTATATAAGAGTAGCTCGTTTAACACCTTGAGTCCACCGATATGAGACCAAATAGAAAATACATTTTATTTCCAGTAGATCCGCGTTTTAGACACACGAAAGGTTAAAGTATAGATTATACCGTAAAAAGTAAACTCGAAAGCGACATCCAATACTAGCAAACTTTGAAAGTCTTTAACTGACGACTGTAAATTGTTGAAGGCAAATCCTTCGCTAACGTCGGCCAACATTGACCACGTGGACTGTGAATGTGTCTATCAATATCTATAAGAATTTATTCAAAAATATCTAATAAATTATTCACACTGTCGTCCCAGTTTAGATTCAAGTTAGAAGAAAGGTTTTATGTGCTTAAATAAAATTAACAGATAAAAAGAATAATTATAATTCAAGTTTAGTATGTAAAAATAACACTTAACATAATAAACATAAACAACAGCTGTTCCACGACCATTTTTTTCTAAAATAACATGTAAATAAACAAAAACTGGTTTATTAAAACAAATATTATTTACATAATTCAGCGAACTATTCTAAATTATAATGATTGCTGTTTGTAAATAAATATGAACACCAGAAAATACCGTTTTCTTTTCCAATATACACTATTTGAAGTTCACGTAAAAAACACAATACAAAAAGTCAAGTATTTTTGTTATCAAATTCGCTCTTACTACTTATGATATAAGGACACTATCAAAAACAAATTAATTGATACCTATAACTAAATCAATAATAAAATGTATTTACAAGATGGCACATTACTTAGTTAATTAGAAAGTTACTGAAATATTACATTCAATATACCGCATACATATGCGCCTTGTGACGACCGCAACGACGCATCGCAGAAATCTACGACGCCGCGCTGCACAACGCTATGTGGTCCGAGGGCCTACTGAGGCCTTAGTACGCGTTCGGCACTCTGATTGGCCGGCGCCAATGAACCAACCAATCAGAGCACCGAACGCCGTGTCGTTTCGATTACTTTAAACGAAAAAGAAACTCGTACTAAGCCCTCTGTAAGTTATTTTTTACATTAACGTGATCGAAGTATTACCGCGTTTAGGTCTCTGATTGGTTACTTAATTGAAGCAGACTAATCAGAGGGCCAAGCACGAATAACTATCGCAATCGTATCGTAACAGTATCGAGCGAGTTAAACGTTCTGATTGGTTGGTTCACTTAAGCCGGCCAATCAGAGCACCGAACGCGCTCGATACTATTACGTTACGAATGCGATAGTTATTCGTGCTTGGTACTCTGAACGTCAAACGTTGTCAACATGTCGATCGCTTTAACGTAATATAAACTTGGATTAGGCACTGCGATTGCACAAATCAATCAAAATATTTTTGCAACGACGCGTCATCATATTATGCAACTCGTTGCTTGTCATTTTTTCGGTACGTCATCGCCACAACGCATCATTGCGGCCTCATCCACCGATTTTAAAACAACCCTAGATCACACTTAGATAAAATATATTTAATAATACGATATTTCTGCATATAAAGAACGTTAATGCAGTAATTTATAAGATATTTTGGACGTAGGTACAATAAAATAAATAGATTATTTTATGGATTCCATTCTAATATTGATACTTTTATCCCAATAAAATAAACATAATACCTACAATCATTTAAAATCTGATGAAAATAACATGAATTATGACGTCATTTTTTAAACATGCGTGCGAGAGAGATAGAAGGAATGTTATGAACGCCTCTACTTCTCACTCATTTACAAAAGTTTTAATTCCTGTCTTATTTATTCCGTTGCTTTCTAATAAATCTCTTATGTCCAAATACTCAAACGCTACTCAATTTTAATTCGCGCTTAAGTATAATTCTGTCAAAATTTAAAATTTAGTAGCCTTTCAGTATTGTAGGTCTAATAAATTACTGCATTAATGCAACTGGCAGTGATTAATTCACCTTAAATTAAAAGTATACAAATCTTTGGTTAATATTAATATTAGGTACTTCACTTCATTTTCCCAATCAATTTACAAAAAAAATATGTTTTGTACACGAAATTGTAACACATTCATGCTATTCATGAACAAAATGTTGAACTTTCAACTATTTTAGCTTTCAATTGTCTACATATAAGTTTTAAAAGAAAGTGAAGTGAAGGTAACTATTTCTTTATGAATAACATTATTAATATCCTATTAATTAAACTTACTCTACTAAGGAACATCACACGGACAAAACCCAGCCAGTCTTACTCAAGGCATGGTATGAGTTAGATCAATCACATAGTTTTAGTCTTAGACCAAAACGTTTTTAATTAGACACAAATCTTAGCTTCAAACTATGAGTCTGTTGAAGTTTTCTAAAATCCTCTATTACTATTCGTCCTACCTTTGCGGTAGACTAAGTATTCTATACTCCACAGCATGACACAGACTAAACAACAGAAGCTCATTGCGAAGAAACAGTACACGTAGCTGCCTGTAGCTTCATACAGCACCCCTAGAAAGGAAACAACATTATAGATAATATTCCGCAAGCTTAGTATGTATTTCGTTAAATTAAAAAACAATAATACAATGAATAATGAGTTATTAATTTATCAATCATGTACAAAGATATCTTAGACATTGACAAATTACTAACATGACTAAGAATTTAAAGAATTGCAAGTAATAAGCGATATACTAATGGAAGTATCAAAACGATACAATCTTACTTAACTCACTTATCTTACTTATTAATACTTGATATATATTATACACAGATAAATATGTAATTAATAGAACCCAAATCTACCGATCTTTGGCTTTATAAATCTTATCGTTCAGTATCTAAACAATGGACGTGCATCTTTGTTGATTAGTAGATAGAAAAAATTAAAGTACATTTTTTTAAAGTAGATATTGAGCTGGAGTACTCACCAATCATGGGGTCAGCTAACATCATGAGTGTACCAGAGAACAATATGTGCAGAGCTAATGCTGCAGGGAACCTGTCCGGTGCTGCACCGACTAGGACCAGCGGGAACAATACTTGGACCGAACATCTCACCAGCCCAGAGACTGCAGTGATGCCAAATACAACCCACAATGAACTTGTGGCTACTAAACCTGTAAATAAACATAAACATTCCTGACTATATATCTGGGACAATACACCGTTTTATATAGATATAAGTCAACATCGGAAAAACAAAACCATAATCGTAACAGATTAGAAATCTACATAATTATACCCTAACATATCGGAGTCCAAGGCTCTAGAATTAATGAGCAACTTAAATAAATTAAAACTCTTTGTATGTTTAACTGATAAAAATTGTATGAAATAATATTTACATCAAAATACTTACCAATACGAAGAAAAACAGTTATACAGGTGCCTATGAAGAAAATTAATCGGCTGTCGACAACAATGAAATAAGTGACTACAGCGAGCACTAATCTTGCTAATAAATCAGATATCGCCCCGACCATCACGCACGTTGCTACCTGCATCTGTAAATTTTAAAAGAAAACATACATTAACAATCACTAAGTCGCCGCAGGTGATAACTGGTATATTAATTGAAACGATAGTGATTTAGATAATCGGTATGTATAAATCTACATAACACACCGTTCGTTCGCAAATTAACTTAGTATCCGGAATTACTAAGCATTTTCACTATCAAGACCGTTAATATGATCAAAACTTTAGATTTTATTTAAAACGCCGTGTAAAGTAATGAAAAATAATCTAAACCTTTTTTTTTCATAAAATAACTGAATTTACCTTTGAAAATCCGTATGAAAATAGGAGCATCGGTTCCATCGCCAAATACGTTACATCGGACACGAAAGCAAATCCAAGTCCAACCAGCGTGCTCACAAACTTGGGATCTTTTAATAAGTCCATCTCTACATTTTCACATATAATTTTTCTGTAATAAATATTAAACATAATTAACACTAACAAACACTAGAAAGATAAGACCGAGAAAGATTGTCGTCTGTGAGGGTGCATTGTCATCTTGTAGAAATGGGTCAGTCAGGACGATGATCCACATTATAATATGTTTTATTTGTAGCCTTATCGCACTAGTTACTTCTGTAGTAGTCAATATTTATATACACTTACACTATGTTCATCTTCATTGATTCTTTCTTTCTCTTTTTAACAGGTCTAACTTCTGTCTCATCTTCACCAGCTGGCAACATTCTTACCGCAAACTCATCGTAGTTTTCCTTCTTAATACTGTTTATATCACTTAATTCTGAAGAAAAATACATTAAATTAAAGTTTAGTTCTATCCATTTGAATGCTTATTAACAACTCAAGTCATGAATAAGTTTGTAACCTTTTTCAACATATTCCTCAGATTTAATCATATGCCATTCAACAGGATGCATGACTAGCATAGCAAAGACTAGATGAAGGTCCACAGCCATAATTAAAGCGAGGGTCCATCTTAACCCGTACTCCGAGAGAAGGAATGTCACCAGCATCGGGAAGGTTATAGACGCCAAACTGCTCATTGCTTGATTGGCGCTCATCATAGCTGTTCTTTTCTTGGTGAAATAACAGTTAAATGCGGTGAAGCTTACTGGTATCATCATACCAAAACCAGCCCCTGTAGAAAAAAATTAAACGGTATTAGAATGAGCTCTCGATATAAAAAGCATTTTGTTTCGCTTTTTATACCTTATTTTAATCTGTCAAACACCAAGCGGTCACCGGTGACCGCGATCTATTGTTCTTTAATTGTGTCTATAAAACCGGTACTCGACGAGTTAATATAGGTATTGCTTCATCTTACCTCTTACTACTCCAAATGTAAACACTAATTGATAAGTCTTCTGAACGAATATTGTGAGAACATCGCCAAGCACAAAGAGTCCAGCTCCAACGAGACCCACCTGACGAAAAGAATATCGCTTCAAAGCGATGCCTCCTAAGAACCCTGTAACAATATACAATCTTTATAACAGTTTCTGTGAGAGATGCATTATACAGTCCATCAACGTCAAAATAGTCAAGAGCATACATCGATTGCTCGCGCCGCACATACGCACATACACACACAGTCGGAGATATTTAAAAATGTATGTATCCTATTTGTTGCATACTACCCATTAGTACTAACCATCAATTATTTAAGATTCGATTTTACTTGTGAGGTTTTGAAATCGCATTTATATCTAACAAAAAGCCTCACTGTATCATAAGAAAACGTGCTAGTTTCAAATTAAAATACCATTTAAATAACACAATCTTCAAAAATTATATTAAAATTCAATTCTTCATAAACCGGTTTAAAAATTCTTAGAATTACAGACGCCACAACAGACAGATAGGATTTAATGGGGCACGGTCAAGATCATTACAATTCTAGAAGTTGAGGAACGACAATATTCGATGAAGGCAATTACAATAAGGATACTAATTATTTTAGTTATATAATCTACCGAAATGGTGACATAAGTAAATAAATGCTGATACATGAAACAAGAGCGTTACCTAATAAGAAGTAAAAGGTCGGTATCACACAATAGTGTTGTCACTCGCGGAAATGGTGTCATTTACACTACAGACAATATCAGTTTACGGCTTAGGACCGGATTGAAAATACTAATAATAAACATGAGACGTAATATTGTTTACATTTATAAAAATAATATTTTTAGACGTGGTATCACTGTCGTACAATTTGCTATATTTTTTTTTCTTATCTCTCTTGCTATTTTACCGCTATTCCAAGACGGTGTTCGAGTTTTTGACAAAGTAATGAAATTGGATTGATTTGATTGGATTGAATTGAAGTTGACTTTTCCGTGCACAAATGTTGTTCAAGTATATTCACCTGATATAATTATCAAATGATACCTCTATTATATCTATTTAGTTGTATGTTTTACAAAATTATATAAAAATATATCCTAAACCTTGTTTTATGATATGAGGTAGGAATGTATAGCATCATCAGAATCTTTGACAAGTCAAATTATGAATAATGATGTTAAAGGAGGTCAGAAGAACATTGTAACTAGACTACTATCGGTCTCTTTGCCCAATCTGACTCGATTAAACGATTTGTGCTGTGCTACATTGTCTATCCTTAATTAGTGATAGTAACTTGAGCCATGATCGATACACGAACTGGTAGAAACTACACGTGTACCCACAGTTCAATGCATCCGCCTAACGACGAAATTGGTTTAAGTGATGTGCTATCAAATTACTTTTTCTGTAACCCAAGCAATGGTGATTCATTTAAATATTAATTTTGAAATACAGAATTAGAAACACAATTGCCAGTGTATTGAAGTAGGTTTGCCGCCCATTGCATGGAATTAAGCTGGTATAAAATGGGTGTACATAAGTCCTGATGGCTTCGGGGATTAACACGTGTTTCTGGATTAACACTACAGCTTTTTAAGCTTAGAACAAAGTTTTTTTAATCAAATCAACATCTACTATTTTTGATCATCAGTGATAAGTAGGTAGGTGTATGTCACATAAAAACAAACTTCATGGGTTTGAATGTTACAGATGAAGTTACAATTCAATTCATATTTATTAATGTCATATTTATTTTGAACTCACCAGCTATTGAAAGGGCTCCATTATAGACTCCTATCACTAATGGTAGACCACTGGCACTGCCTTGCTCCAAAAAGAAATTATGAAACAATATGCCAAAAGCATTTGAAGAGCCAAATCCCAACATCTGCAAAGAAGGAAAAAAAAATTTAATCACGTGATTCTCAGAAATTTATTTTAATTATGCAAGAATTTTAAAATATTTAAAATATAAAACAGTTGAACATGAACTAAAAATACCCCATATGTTTTGTACCAAGGTTAATTAAATTTGAATCTTAAATGAAATGATGATAGCGATTGACATTATGATATCGTCCAATGATCCTACTTTGCTATTGTTTTTTTTTATTTATTATTTACCAGCAGTAGGACAGTTATCCTACTGGCAAACAATACTAATACTATTACCTACAGGCAGTCATCATAATAAATCTCTTGACATTTGATTACTCGTTGGCCGAGTGGTCGCAAGTGCGACTGCCGGGCAAGGGGTCTCGGGTTCGATTCCCGGGCCAGGCAAAGTATTACTGGGTTTTTAAAAATCTCAGTTGTAATACGGAGTCTGGGCATGTGCCCGGTATATGGCAATAGGCTCACCCCCTATTACATGGGACTCATAACATAAATAGTGAAAAAGTGGGTGTTACATTGTACAGTGACCTTAAGTGCCGTAATGTGCGCCCTACCCCTTCGGGGATAAAAGGCGTGATGTTATGTTTGATGATTCATAATCATCATAATTATTATGGTACGAAATCCAGACAAAATAATCAATTTTTTAATTAAATAATATTTTAAAACTTGATTTTGTAAAGACGAACATGTTTCCTCATGCACCCAAATTGTTTAAATCCTTACCCTTGACCCATTGTATTTGGTCAAGGCAAAGTTTTTTAGGTTAAGTCGACATGCCCTGAATTAGTAAAGGATCACAATTATTTAATTAACTGTAGAGTAACTTAAAACTGCTACTATCTACTGTAGAAAACCAAAAAATAATAAGTATGTCAAAAACAAATAGATGCTGAGGTTCATAGTTGGATATATTATATAATTTATTTTCTCATCAGAGAAATGGTTAAAAAACAATGACAAAGTACCTTCATAAATTGTGTGCTATCAAGGCACTTTGTTTGCAGTAAATTCAATTATTTTATTGATAATAAAGTAATTAATTGTCGTTAACATTGCTACGAGTGAGATTGTTTATTTCTTTGAAACTTGAGCGAGGTAGGGAAGGAGACACTGAGAACAAGTAAAGATCGTAACTCTCTTTTTTTTAAGGGGGGAATATCATCGAATGACTGCTCCCGCCTGGGTGAGGTGGCAGGGAGTGTCAGACTCTAACTGACTAAAAACCACCCCGTTCCTTCTCCTGCACGTCGAGCCGGAGCCCCGGTAACCCGTTAGATCCTCCGCGACAACTATCTAGGATAGGCATACGATTACAGCAGCTGTAGCCAAATGCCATTTAGCGCTTGTCTACATTTAGAATAGAAAACCAAATTATATGGGATTCACGTAAATTTTGACACTTGTCAGTGTCATCCCCATACATTGAGTTTTCTACTCTATCGGTAGACAAGCGCTATATTGGCGTTTGGCTAAAGGCACAGATTAGAATCATTGACACTTAACTGTCAAGTTTAAAATGCTAAATGTCAAACCTCCACTAGCATCAGGCACCGGTTACTGAATTGGTGCTAAGGGTTAGTTAGAGACTAATAACATTTTCCAATATAACATAACTACTTGACTACATGAGTTCGTACGCGCAATCCCGTTGTATTTCCCGTGTTGTACCCGTTCCCGTAAGACGTTCAAGATTTTTTTTCTCTCATAAGAATCTTCTCCTGACAATAACAAACAAAATAAAATAGTGAAATCGGTCCAGCCGCTGACACGTGATGGCGTGACCAAAGGATATAGGAATTCACTTTTATATATTACGAGCTGACGCGGCAAAATTCGTACCACCTAAATTTTTCCCCACCTTTTAAACTTTATCTGAACATTTCAAAACCAACATTAGCCAAATAGGTTCAGCCGTGCTCGAGATTTAGTGAGACTAACGAACGGAAATTCATTTTTGTCTATATGTGTCTACTAGATGTACACATTAGTAACTTTAAAAATTAGCTCTTCTTATGATATCAAAGAATAGGCACATTATGAATACCAGTCCTGTCACTTCATAAGTTCGCTTTCCGGCATTTTAAATTTGAACGTCATTATACAAAAAATATGAGATTTTTATTAATTTCTTTAATTAAAGACATATCATTACCATACTTTTAACTCGTGCTTAAGGATCATGGTACAATATAAAAAAATATACTTCGTGCGCCCGTCAACACATTTTTTCCTTCCATATTTTAAACATGTAATTTCATTAATTAGTCACGGATTAAAACGGATGGCATTCATAGTGATTAATCATTTTATCTACGTTTGGATCATAGTTTACATGTAGATCAATCTAGACTAATCTTGAATATCGTTTATTCAAAAAATAAAATGCAAACTAAAATCGTATGCGACATATAGGTAGTAGAAAGAAAAATGATGACCACGGTTCCGGCTCGCAGACAGCGTCTTGAGTCAGAATATAACCTAACATCTTATTCTTATTTCTCATAATCGCAGGCAGAACGTTTGTCTTATCTTATTTGTATTACAATGATATAAAAACAATGAGGAATTTCATAGTGTCGCTTAGCTTAGACCATATTGGAATGCCACTACTAGCTTCCTATATATTTTTTTTTTATGGGACAAGCTCGCCACAGCCTCTCAAAACCGCTGCAACTCCTGTAAGCCAGGATCAACAGTACATACAACCATGAAAACACTGGAACACTGAAGTCCGGCGCGTCCCAGGGACATGAGTAACTGTCTTGGTTCCCGCAACGAAGTAAATCAGAAGATAATATAAGAGGAGAAGAAAAAAAACCTAGCTACCTATGTATATTATGTAGATTATTATAATATTTATCGAAAAGAAATATCTCACCGACATTTACGTCAACTCCTACATTCCACACTATTATTACCTATCTAAATTATGAAAATACCGATTGCATGAAACTCAAACTTAGTATTTCGTACCTATCCGTCGAAGCATCTTAATCTACGCTGTGAAGTTTAATCTACAAGATCGTTATTTGTAATCTTTATTTTAGTCGGGGTTTTTTGAGAAATATTTCAGCGTAATGATTACATACAGCAAGACAGCAAGTTACTGTCATACAAATCAGCATTATAGAATATGTCTTCTGGTGTTCCCCAGGGGTCATATCTGGGCCCAACTTGTTACATAATATCAAAGAATAGTACGAATGACAATGAAGAGATATGAAGAGAAGCCTAAATTGACGCCGATATTAGGCACAAGAGCCAGGTAATAAGGACAAGAAAAGCTACTAAAAAATAATAATAATAATAGAACAACAATATATTGTTCAATTAACGAGACGTCTTATGACGAATAATGAGAAAATGTTGATGTAATCTATCGGTAAGTTACCACCAAGTGGGAAATTTTATCGGAATAAATTGATTTGATTAATAAGTTGATCTATATCGTTAATAGCTAATTGATCTTGGTTTTCGTATAGTTCAATAACATGATAATAAGGACGATAATGAAAGGCAGTAAAAACAAGAGCTTTTGTTAAACGAATTACCTACAGAGTCATAGTTATTATAGGATAAATAAATAACAGGAAATTGTTTTGTTGCGTATTTCTACATACATTTGTAAAAATCTTAATGGCTTATATACTAGATAGATTAAGTAATTAGTATTGTTCATAGTTCTCTTAGTAGGTAACTTAAATAGCATTATTATTGTGTGTGATGATCTGAAATACAGCTACAGATTTGTGGAAGTCATCATCAACAGCCTATAAATGCCCACTGCTGAGCAAAGCCTCTTCTCACACGGAGAAGGTTAGAGCATTAATCACCACGCTTGCTCAATGCGGGTTGGCGATTTCAAACTTATAATTTGAAATTATAAGCCTAGGTTTCCTCACGATGTTTTCCTTCACCGTTTGTTAGGGGTGTCTAAATAATCTTAGAAAGCACATATAACTCGGAAAAAGTCACATTGGTACTTGCCGTTGGTAGGTTTCGAACCCGCACCCTCATGCATGAGAAGCGGGCGTCTTAAACCTCCGGGCCACCACGACATGCTACTTCCACAGATTTGTGGAAGTAGCGTGGATTAATTAAAAATAACGAGTTGCTCATATAAATATACTGAAAAAAGTTCTACATGTTTCGAGTCATATAGAGATATTGTCAGTAGCCTCCTTCAGTAGGCGGCGCCACATTGCCACGACCGCACACACTACTCATGAGAAAGAGTCCCTCTGTAACTCGAAACTAGTAGAGCTTTCTTAAGTATATTTACGTGAGTAGTTAATTTAGTATGTCTCATGATAATTATTATAAAAACAAGTAGCATGGAGTTATATAGAAAACCAAGAACCAACCGATATACATTTAATCCAATGCATAATATTATAGACAACCTAACAATATACTTTCGATCCCATATTGAATAAAGTATTAGGTAATTCTTATTACAAAAGAAAGGTGTGGATTGAAAGATGGTCTGGACATGTAGAAAGGATGGATAAAAGCAGAGTAACGAAAGAAGTATACAGAGCGGATATGAATGGGGCCGTCGGTAGAGGGCGCCCTAGACGGACATATAGTGACCAGATTGGCGATATATTAAAGAAGGGCCAAATTAAAAGTACCCTTAACCGACGACCATGCATGAAAAGATTGATGACTGTTAATGAAGCGAAAGAGGTATGTAAGAATCGTAGTAATTGGCGTTCCTTAGTCTCTGCTTACCTCCATGGGAGACAGGCGTGAAGTTATGTATGTATGTATGTGTATGTATTACAAAAGAATTATATAAATACAATGTAAATTGAAAAACAATAATGCGTACAATAAACCTGACCTTTATTACTAAAAAAACCAGGTGTGATATAATAATTATAGCAACAGGTTTACGTTCTTAGACTAATATAATGTATGCGTCTAGTATCTGGTGCTATTTACACGATGCACGTGTGTAAAATCCGCATTCACGAAAGCCATTGT